AACTACCCGACCAGAATTTTGCGGCTTTACCGCAGATAAAAATAAATAGAAATCAGTTTGAATTCAAGCCAAAGAGGTTATTAGCCTTGGTTAAGGTTTTAACTACTTTTGGGGGTATGGACTACACTCGTACCGGTTCTTGTAAAGAACGAAAGGTCGGTGACCTAAATTACGCTTCTTTCAAGCGCAAAGCTACGGCAGCCCCGCTGCAATATGAGGCGTACATATATACAACCCATCTAGTGCAATACTCAATAGTATCAGCCGGACCAAACAACGTTTTCTACGCTTCGTTTCAGATATTAGTATACTTTAAGCCACAGCAAACTAGAGGCAAGTCCTTGTTCCGGCTTAACGGGTTGTTTCATAAACACTGCTACATATTTAATCTCAGTACTGAGATCTGAACGACACGAACGACTCGTATATCTGACAATTTTCAAGCACAAGAAGCTCAAGGGAATGGAAAGAACTATATAAGAAGAGATGAACTCAATTTTTGTCAAGAAAGAAAGAATTTCATTAGAATGGAACTAATACAATTACTACGATGTTTATCTCACCAATTTGGACACGTTAATGCACAAGAAGAACCGTTTGAAAAGAACAGAAAATTCAGATACGCCAAGCTAATTTTGTGAGGCAGCTCGCAAACTCTAAAAGCGCAGAAATAGCCGAAAAAATTTGGAGCAAATGCCGTCCGCGGAGAAGGCGAGCCAACGTTACACTTTTAACATCTGCATCTTGTGCAGTATGTAACACATCTAGCAGATCTTTCCTCGTGCATGGGTACACCAGCTGTTCAGAGTGTAAGGATGCATATTTGATTGTAATCCATGTCGTTGACATGTTCTATCCCCAATTGATCAGACGATCAGAAAAGGTATGTGATGGCCTAAAAATTGATATTCGAAACGGGGGCAGCGATGCGAATGAGATGCGGTTGTACAGTACAAGTACAAATAGACCCACGTGTAGCGAAATGCGTAGCCTTCTTTACTTTGGTAGCTCCGATAAAAAGTTAGTAGGTTATATTCTTCTTCTTGATTAACTATGGGCAGATCCGAGTTACTTATCATGCGCTCTCGTGGAAAAGGTGGCAAAGCCTTTACCGATGAATATTTAAATGGTATGCAGATAGAAAGCCAGTAATAGGCAATACATGCTGTAGTACACACGATCGGTCTTCTGTATCAGGGCTGGGGTGTAGGCTGTCAATTGTGATGCACAGAAGACAAATAGACGCTGGTCAGAGCCACAAAAAGCCGCGTGTGCTTTTGTTAACATTCTTTGATTTCCTTCACCATGTCTACGTGCATGTCTTCCAAGACGAAGATTGAAATACGTCTACGGAGTGTCGCAGTGCTAGTGATGATAATTATTCTGGTATCGTCGGCGAGTACAGTTGCAGTCAAGACATCGGTTTCTTCGAATTTTCAGTTTCCTGAAAGGGCCCGTCGTCATCAGCAAGTCAAGACGACTTTCAATCCGAAGCCAGAGCATTTGATAGCGTGAAACGACTCATTTCACAGTTCAAACGTGATAAAGACCTGTACGCTGTTTTACGCGATCGTTCGAAGGATTTGCAAACAGAGTTATCTGTGGTTTCAACAATGTCAGCGAACATTATACACTCAAACCCTTTTTCGAAGAAAGAAAACCTCGTGAAATATCTCTTTAAGATTGGACCAAAAGAGGCCACTGCGGCGCTTGAGAGAATTGGGAGGCAGCTGAGCAGGAAGCAAGTTGACGAGCTGATCAATCAGTATGACGCTGCGATCAAGATGATGAATTTAGATCATAGCTGGGAATCTGCCTTCAAATTTATCACTGGCAAGTCGGCACGCGCTGCGAATCCACTTTTTAAATTCAAATCCGATTCTTATTACAAGCTGATGTTGGAATGGAGGACAAAACTTGAAGGAGGGCAATTCAACATCCGCACTATTCTTCTTAAAATGCCAACAAAAGAAAATCATCACTGAAATCAGCGCATATCGATCTTGAACAACGCACAAGAAATGCCCACCTCAAGAAATAGCGCATTTTAAAGCTGTATCTTGAGCCAGCTCAGTTAAAATGGCACTGACGCTGTTCGTGGTGCCGTTTGTTCCCTTTTGTTCAGTGTGGTGATAGCGCTAAGTGGAAGCTTCAATCCACAAATTAAGAAATAAATTCTAGATTATGCAATAATTACTGATTTTCTGTAGCTCAAATAAATCTACGGCGACTGCCTAATTTGACGGCATTTATATTCTAATTTGATGAAATTTCCAGATAGCAGAGCGTGGCGTATGACCACAACACCGGACATGATGCCAAAATCACGCAGTCACTTTATTATTAATATACTATGAACCTTACATGTAACATCTTACAAACTTCAGAAGCAATACCGTGTTTTAGGAGATATCCATTAATTCGATTACCAGAATTTCTGATTTGTACGTCACCAAAAATTGAATATTACGATAAAATGGGAAAACTTTTATAAGCTAATTTATATTTTTCACCGTGGGTACTCATAATTAACTCATATGTACCCATTAGGTAACCTTAGATATGATAATAGTACCAAAACACGGCAATCATTACTGCGATCAGTGAAGGTCCAACAAATGCTACCATGACTCGAACAGATTGCGCAGTTGAAAAAGATTCTTCAGATGTTTGAGTCGGTCTCAATGACTTTGGTCCATCTTTCTTCTCTCTAGTCTCTAAATCAGAGTCTACTTTGTCCTTCTTCCGACGTTGCATCAACTGAAGCGAAATATCAATCACAAACTTATAGGATCCTCGTTGTCAATCCATTTAGTAACGTTGTTCGTACCGTTAACTCAAGATCATCTATGGTCATGCGTAGCTGCCATGGCACTTGAATCTTCTGCCTTTCTAACTCAAATATTAATTGGTCGCGGCATAAAAGAAACGCTTTGTACTTAATCACGACTTCTTCACCAAATGCATCGTCACGCTTGGCCTGTTGGTGTGCTGCCTGAAGCTCGTCGTCCCGTGCATATAATTCATCAAGCTTATTATCAATAACCTTCGACTTGTGTCCGAGATCCTCGAGGCCCTGTGTTAATAGAGACTGTCCTACCATACCTTCTTTCCAGCCTAAAATTAGGACGACAGAAGAAATTATAAAATAGGTAAAATGGTAATCAACGCTTCATTTACATTACAAGCTGAGCGTCCTGGCCTATGCACATCTGACTATATCACTTTACAGCTCTACTACATCATCACGACGGTGGCCGTACGCATGATCTTGCGTAACGTAATGATTGGCGCCATTAGCATCGTATGTCTGTTGGCGACCATTCTGCGCAGCTGTATTTTGGTAGTCGACACCACCTTTCGGGTACTGAGACTGCAAGACTGAGTGTTCCATAGGGAGCTGAGCATTACTCAAAGCACGGTCCTTGTGCTGTGCTGGAGTCTCGTCTTTGAAATATTCCTGAGCTGTCTGTTCTTCCTGGTCATACGCAGCATCACGTTGAAGTTTGAACTTTTGCCAGAATGTATAAAGCGATCGAATCATCAAAAGAGCTAGCACAAAGAGATTGAGACCAACAATAGCCACCGAGATGCCATTTTGTAAACTAGTGGGGAATCCATCGCTAGCAGCGGCAGTCACTAAGAAAAATGTCAGCACAAGCACAGCGATCTTCATAATGGAGACAAAACTGGTTGTAGTCTGAACAAATTTTGAGTGATGTGGTGATTGAATCTCGAGGTAGAAGAAAAAAAGCACGTTTATCGCGAGAATAATCGAAACCTGCGCTTTGCCAGACATGCCAGCACAACCAGTCACTACACCGGTTGTCAACGCCACCATCATCTTGGCAGCAAAAAAGTAGCGATTTTTAAATTTGTATTCTTCATACAAAGGTCCATAACGCATATTGACAACCTTTTTCATGTGCTGGACTGTACCGACATCTGTAATTTCTGCCTCGTGCTTCTTCACTACAAAGTAGCCATACACAAGAATACCGCTAGCCAAAAACAGGATAGCAGCAATTGCTAGCAGACACTTTGGATCCGTGATACTCTCGTATTTCGTCGAGTAATAGATTTGAAATGTCGCCGTTACTCCGATCGTATATTGGGACAGAATGGCCACAAGAACCTCAAGACCAATCATCTTATCAAAAAATTTCTCCAAGTACTCTTCACGAGGCATTACTACACCAGCGAGTAGATAGCCGACACCAAAAAGACCGACTACGCAAGCCATGACGCAAAACACACCCGCCAGTGTCACGAGAAATAACATGTCTTCTTGAATATCAAGCTGACGAGAATATTTTTCAATTCCCGATAGTTGCTCAAGACTGCTCGAGCTACCACTGCTATCTGAATCTTCAAGACGGCGACTTTTACTAAACTGACTGTAGCCGTCTGAACTACCATCTGAGTGAGAGTTTGAGAGTTTGCCAAAGGGTAGAAACGTGAATGCTGCAGGAGCCATTGCTTTACCAAACTGCGCCAAAGCCGACGACTTTCCATCAAGTTGAAGCTGATTCACGAGTACACCAAATTGACAGATCTCTACTGTCGTAATTGCCATAGTTGAGCCAGCTGCAGCAAAAGAAGCACCTGCAGAACTAATACCACCCACAGCAGTACTAGCAATCGCAGCAATTCCTGTAATAGCTACAGTCACACCAGCAACACTTTTTGACGTCACAGCTACAACTTGACCAGTCGTTGTCGTGTTATCCTTTGTAATCACACCATTTATCTCGTCGTTTGCACGCAGCTCTTTCTTCGCTGCATCTGCTAGACTTCCCGAGCTATCTCTATCTACGAGCAGAGCTGAGCACGAACATGATGAGAAGGAATTTTCAGAAGAGTACGTGCACTGCTCGGAATTCGACATGGTGGAATTGGATAAAAACGTTGAGACTGTGGACGAACGATGTTCTAAAGCTTGCACGACATTGGATGGAAGGAATGATTGGACACTCAGTCCGTCGTAGACCGACGAAGAGATGCCATTGCCAGTACCGTACTCCCACGTATTGTTTGTGCACGATGGAAACGAACAGATGGATACACAAGTCGAGCCGAACGTCGAGTCTGCTGAATTGCTGTAAATGACACAACTGGAGGCTTCAACGGCCATAGCAACGTCGATACCAGCACCACCGCAAGTCAAACCGAGTATGTCCCACGTTGAGTAGAACGTACTGTCACATACAAGATCTTGTGTCTCGGTGGAATTTGACGTTTCTCCATCAATTGTCGTGCTCGAATTTGTAGCTGATGTGGATGACGTTGAATTCGATGGTACAATAGTTGACGTCGTTCCATTTACATTTGTCGTTGCTGGCGTAACTGTCGTTCCTGTTGTACCGGTAATGTTTGACGTTCTGATAGGAGTAGTCAATACATCTGTGCCGCTCGGTGTGCCAGCTAAAGGATTCGTAATAGCAACCGTTCCAGTAGTACCGACTGTATTAGTAGCAGTTGTAACTTGTAATTGACGAAATCTAGTGGAGATTGAAGAAATAGCATTTGCTACAGTGTCGGACGGTGGCGTGACAGTCGTTGAAGCTGCCGTAGAAGGCACCGCGACGTTCGATCCCGTTGTCGTAGTCGTAGATGCACTGTCAGGAGTGTTTGTTGTCGATGGAGCTGTTGTAGTCGATGGTGTTGTTGTAGTCGATGGTGTTGTTGTAGTTGATGGTGTTGTTGTAGTCGTTGGCGTCGTTGGGGTTGTCGATGGAGTCTGAGGAGTAGATGGTGGTGTAGTTGGTGGACTTAGTGTAGGCGGTGATGGTGTCGTGGGAGTCACAGGCACACCAGCACTACCCGTTGAGTCATCACTACTACCTGCAGTAGTGACATTTGTAGCGTTATCAACGCCATTGTCGTCACTTGTAGTGGCTGGAGACAAATCCGAGATCGTTGGGCTACCGACGTCTGCATTTTGTGAATCCTGACTACCTCCATCTGAAGCTGACGTCGAGTCTGAGGACAAGGTCGTTTCATCACTGTCGATGTCATCAGTATTCGTAATATCGGCCACAACTTTAGTAATAGGATCTGTGAGTGTTGATGCCGTTCGACCTTGGACGGATACTGGACACGTGGTAACAGCGGACGCCGCATGTACCGCCAATGCTGTCGCGCCTACGAGCGCAAGCAACCGCACGTTCATCTTTGTACTTTTTGTTTGTAACTCGAGAGTACTCTTTCCTGTGTGGTAGGAAAAGAGTTAGTACTTCTTTACCAAGGTAGAGAGAGAATGCCACTTTGAAGTGGCCTGTCGTCTTGGTGAATTTGGTAGAAAAAGGGGTTGGGGGAGGTGGTATAGTGAAATGAAGTTTCTTTGTCTGTTGCAAGTACTAATTGCGTGCCACTGGCGATCAAGCGACATATGTATTGTATTTGTCCTTCATTTCTTTACTAGAATATTGGCGAAAAGAAACAGAACGATCAGATTAGAAAGGGTATAAATAAATTTCAGAAGGTCAAATTTGTACACGCTCTCAGTTCGAGATCGTAAAGCAACGTGATATTCAGTGTTATTTCTTCATTATGCAGATACTGCGTCTGTTATTTCAGAGCTTGAGCTGCCGTAGAAATTGATCAAAAACACGTTAGTCGAGTCGAATCGTAATTTATTCAGTCTTTACTGCCTAACATAATACTATACTCGATTGGATAGGATACAGAGTCTAAAAAGTCCATGGTTGAAAAATTTTGGGTTTGTTGATTAGTATAAAATCTTATGTTGAGCGATTCAACTTTGAGGGTCATCTAAATTTTAGCGTTTCATGACTCGTCATTCGATGGATAGAAACTAATGACTTTTGGTCATCCTGCAGAATATATTCATTTATTTTGATGATGAATGCTCGATTAGAGGCAACTACAAAAACTAAAAAAGATCATATTTTAGGTGACCAAGTAAAATATATAGTTACAAATGATTGTTTAGACGGTGCTCAGTACTGTTACGCACGGATTGAATGATTTACAGTCAAGAATCAGCTTTGAAGTCTATGACCAGGCATAATGAAATTGAGAGAAGAGATGTGACCTTGCTATTACAGAGTGTTTGGAGGTTACGACTTCTTCCATTCATTGATGTCCGTTATTCTCCCAGCTGCTCACTTCTAACGTTAGTAGATAAAACACTGGATTTTTGGGATGGTAATCGCATTACGTTTTGGAGGCTGCTTCTCTGCCACGCTTTATACAATATACTTGTGATAAAATTACTTACAAACTAGTTCTGATCACGTTTTGTAATAATTAATACTTATAAGTTTTTTGATAACAATAATTAAATTGTAATTTCTAATCTGGGTATATCTATTAAGCCTTAGAGGTATTCGATATAAATAGTAAGTTGTCAGAGAGAGCGTTAGCAACACACGTACTTTCTATCTGTACAACACTTTTATATCAATACATGGCTCAGGACACATGTTAGGACAGCGAATACCCTTAACAGACAACTGAACAAAATCCTCAATACATTATATGGGTTACACTATAAAGATCACTTGATAACACCCACCTATTGCACATTTCAGTACTCATGACACTTCGTCGCAATGGCGCGCGCATTCGCAAGGCCCTTGACTTTTGTGACCTTGACAAATCTATTCAACAACTACTACGGAACTCACCACCTTTTCGAGTGCTCGGTATTGACATTAATACGAACAGTACCGGTTTTGTTGTAGTCACAGAACGCGGCCGTGTGTGCCGCTGGGGTTACATCCCCACAGACCATTTCGCTAGCTCTAACGTGATGGCTATCGGCGGTGCAATCGATGATTTTCTTGCAAAGGTTCAAGCTGCTGAGCTTGAGCTCCAGCAACAAGAAAATGCTCGATGGATCGTTGGTATCGAAGCATTTATGCGAATGTTCCGCTCTGGTCGATATCACAATGCCGGCATTTTTCAACTGGCACAACTTAATGGTATCGTGTCTTTTGCCTGTTGGAAGCGCTTTGGTTCACTTCCACTTCACACACATCCTTCAGCTGCGCGAAGTTTTCATGGTTTGTGTACTTCATCAGTCAATAGTAAAAGTGGCAGTATCAAACATCAAGTCATGACATTTTTAAAACAACAAGAACCGGAATTGACTCAAGCAGCAAGTTGCGATTCGAAGTCAAGTTGTGTCTTTCCAACGTTTCAGCGAAATCGGAATGGCTCATTAGCTGACTCCGCATTTGATATTGCTGATGCTTATGTCATGGCGTCATATACACGTTGTATGTACTTTAAAACGCTGCTGCAAACGGAACAACCACAACTGTTAGAAACTTTTTCGCAACGATACCTTGAGCTAACACACAAAGCTGCTACTAAAACGAAGAATGTTCGCGAGATCAAGATTATAGAGACAATGAATGAGAAAGAAAAGCAGGCATACACACAGGATTTGTTTGCGTATGGCCTAGAAAAGTGGTTTAAAGAGCACAAAGCACAACTTTACGCCAGAGAATGATATGTGAGTTGAATTTACTACGTTCATGTTGAAAACTTGTACTGCACACAATACTCTGTGCTTAATGGAATTCATGCACGTCTGTCCACGCATCCTCGTCGTTTTCACGTTTGTAGTAGTCAAATAAACTGTCTGGCTCAAGACCTAGCATAGGTTTGTTCTTGTGGATGGCCATGGCCTCGACAAAGAGCTGAACAAGACTAATGTTGGTCAATAAGGGAACGGAGAAATCCACCGCTGTGCGACGAATCTGGTAGTTATTCTCCATCTGTTGGCTATGGTTATTGGGCAAATTGACAACTAGATCAATCTTGCCATCCTTTATCAGGTTAAGCGCATTATTCGCGCTGTCACCGTCCGATGGAAAATCTACTTTAGTTGACGGAATGTCGTACTTTTTTAAGAAAGCATGCGTTTTTTGGGTCGTGTACAAGCAGTAGCCGAGTTCGTGCATCTTGTATGCTGCATGTACAAACTCTTCCGAAAACTTGTCCTGCATTGAGAGCAAAATGTTCTTCTTGGGTAATTTGAAATTCGACGAGATGAGCGCCTTTAAGAACGCCTCGTGGCGGTTCTTGCCAAAGCATGCCACTTCACCTGTCGACGCCATTTCAACACCCAATAGCGGGTCAGCTCCACCTAAACGAGTGTACGAGAACATGGGGGCCTTAATGCCGACATAACCCTCTGGACGCTTTGGGCCATCAAGAGGAGGTAGATTGTCATTGTCCGTTGACTCGCCTACCATCACTTTTGTGGCAGCGTTGATAAAATCGGCGCCAGTTGTTTTTGACACGAACGGAAACGAACGTGAGGCGCGTAAATTGCATTCAATTACGCTCACATCAGCGCCCTTAGCCAAGAACTGTGCGTTAAAGGGACCAGAGATATTAAGTGCTTTAGCGATTTTCTCAGCGTTGCGCTTAATCTGGTTCGTGTAGAACGAACTGGCCTCAACAGGCGGCAAAACCAGTGTGGCATCACCACTATGCACACCGGCATTCTCGACGTGCTCGGAAATTGCAGCGGCGACAACTTTGCCGTCCCTGGCCACAGCATCAAGCTCCAGCTCCTTCGCACCCTCCACGAATTTGGTAATGACAACAGGATGGTCAGCAGACACAGCTACGGCTTGATTTAGAACGTTATTTAGTTCCTCAAACGAGTAGGCAACGTTCATGGCCGCTCCACTTAATACGTAAGACGGACGCACAAGCACAGGGTATCCCACGCGCTCAGCAAATTTGCGAGCATCTTCGTGGCTCGTCAGCTCCTTCCATGCAGGCTGCGGCACACCGGCCTTGTCCATCAGCTTGGAGAACTTGTATCGATCTTCGGCGCTGTCAATCATAGTTGGGTGCGTGCCAAGAATCTTGACGCCAGCCTTGTGCAGCGGCAGCGCAAGGTTGTTTGGGATCTGACCGCCCACGGATACCACGACGCCTTGGACGCCCTCACGGTCGTTGACATCCATCACGCGCTCCTTCGATAGTTCTTCAAAGTACAACTGATCACACTCGTCATAGTCCGTGCTCACCGTCTCTGGATTATAATTCAGCATCACAGCTCGATGGCCAAGTTTGCGCAGTGTACGAATGCAGCTCACAGCGCACCAGTCGAACTCGACAGAACTTCCAATTCGGTAAGCACCGCTGCCCAATACAATCACACCATCATTCGGGTCTTGAGCAGGAACATCGTGTTCGGTACCGTTGTACGTCATGTATAGGTAATTGGTTTGTGCTGGATACTCAGCCGCTAATGTATCGATTTGCTTCACCGCTGGCACGATACCAAGCTCCTTGCGCCTCGCACGCACTTCGTCGTCTGTACAGCTAAACATACGAGCTAGTTGTCGGTCTGCGAATCCGAGCTTTTTAGCCTCAATTATCTCCTCAGCACTTACATCGCAAAGCTTTTTCCCAGTCAAATTCACATCGCAGTCACAAATAGCTTGCAGGCGGCTGAGGAACCACGTGTCAATCTTTGTAATCTCGTGCACTTGCTCAATTGATAATTGGCCAGTCTTTAAAGCCTGTGCAATTTGATAAATTCGTCGATCCGTGGGTTTGCCAAGTGCTTTAACGAGTTCTTCGTGAGATAGTTCTTCATAGCGCGGCTCAAAACCTTCATTTGAAGGTTCAACCATGCGCAGAGCCTTTTGAATCGCCTCTTCGAACGTACGTGCAATGGACATGACTTCACCAACACTTTTCATCGACGAACCGATTTCTGTGCTGACATTGTCAAACTTGGCGAGATCCCATCGTGGCATCTTCGCAACGCAATAGTCTAGGGAGGGCTCAAAGCAAGCAGTTGTACTTTTGGTTACCGAATTCTTTAAGTCAGGCAAATTGATACCCAGGGCAAGTTTAGCCGCCACAAACGCAAGAGGGTAACCCGTGGCCTTGGAGGCCAGTGCGCTGGAACGCGAAAGCCGTGCATTCACTTCAATAATACAATACTCTTCGGATTCAGGGTTCAAGGCGTACTGGATGTTACATTCACCGACGATCCCAAGATGACGCACCACCTTGACAGCAGTTTCACGCAGCATATGGTACTCGCGGTTTGAAAGCGTTTGAGAAGGCGCAATTACGATTGATTCGCCCGTGTGAATGCCCAGCGGATCAAAATTTTCCATGTTGCACACTGTCAGACAGTTGTTAGCAGCATCACGCACGACCTCGTACTCAACTTCTTTCCAGCCCTTCATAGAGCGTTCGACTAAAATTTGGGGACTACCAGAGAACGCTTGTTTCGCCATTGTACGTAGATGCGCTTCGTCTTCACATATACCTGAGCCCAGACCCCCAAGTGCGAAAGCAGATCGAATCATTACAGGGAATCCAATACGATAAGCCGCCTGAACGGCGTCTTCTACCGACTCAACGGCTTCGCTCTGTGCAATCTTCTCATTAATTTCGGCCAGCTTGTCGTTAAAGAGCTCACGATCCTCAGTGTAGTTGATTACATCAATTTGGGTACCGAGCACCTGCACGCCGTATTTCTTAAGTATCCCACGCTTGTCAAGCTCCACACCGCAATTGAGTGCAGTTTGACCACCCATAGAGATCAAAATACCATCTGGACGCTCTCGTTTTATTACTTGCTCAACAAAGTCCGCGTTCACCGGGAGATAGTACACATTACTGGCTTGTGCTTCACTCGAACGGTCAATATTAGTCTGCACCGATGCAATATTCGGATTGATTAGAATCGTCTCAATATTTTCTTCCTTCAATGCTTTGATAGCTTGTGAGCCAGAGTAGTCGAATTCACCAGCCTGACCTATTGAGAGACCGCCAGAACCTAGAACAAGCACCTTCTTCACCTTTGGTCGTTCAATATGAGGACGCTGAACCAAACTCTTAATCGCTCCCTTCTCTTTGTTGCGTACAGCATCGAGGAATGTATCAAAGAGAAAGTCTGTATCTGTGGGACCGCCAGCGTGCTCTGGATGAAATTGTGCAGTGAAATAAGGCTTTGACTTGTGAATTATTCCCTCATTTGTGCCGTCGTTCAGATTTACAAACAATTCATCCCAGTCGCTAGGCAAAGTATTGCCATCCACAGCGTAGCCATGATTCTGAGCCGTAATATAGCTCTGACCAGTCTTACAGTTGTGCACGGGTTGGTTCTGACCACGGTTGCCAAATGGCAGCTTGTAAGTGCTAGCACCAGCAGCAAGACTAAGCAGCTGATTCCCAAGACAGATCCCAAAGATCGGTTTAACATCATTTCCTTGTAAAGCAAGCGCTTTTTGTAGCTGAGCCGTCGTTTCTTTCATGATGGCCGGATCTCCGGGACCGTTAGAGATAAAGAGGCCATCGTACCAGCCAAATTCTGATGAAATGTCATGGTTCCAGGGTACACGCTTAACCTCAGCGCCACGTTTTACGAGTTCTCTTATAATATTGTACTTGATACCGCAATCAACAGCCAGTATCTTCAGTGGATTCCCCTTGCCATAGGTAATGATCTCTTTTGTCGAGACAAGGGATGCAAGATTTGCCTCATTTACATCAATAAGATTGGGTTTGTCGCAGCCTTCAACAATAATACGGCCAGCCATAGCGCCGTGTGCCCGAATTTTTTTGGTAATAGCACGTGTATCAATGCCCATGATACCGGGAATGCCTTCACTTTCAAGCCACTCGGACAACGACTGCGCGGCGTTCCAATGACTGTGATGAGTCGAGTAATCTTGTACAATCATACCTGCAGCGTGGATGCGGTCTGACTCAATATTTTGAAGAAGACCATACTTGTCTAATGCTTTCGTATCGGGTACACCATAGTTGCCGATCATCGGAAACGTCATATTAAGGATCTGACCCTTAAAAGACGGGTCAGTTAATGCTTCTGGGTAGCCAACCATCCCAGTCGTAAAGACCACTTCACCAGCTGTAGACTTTTTTGCACCAAAAGAAACACCGCGGAAGCGCGAACCGTCTTCAAACTCGAGTACAGCGGGAGTCTCGAACCGCGGCACATTGCGACGATTTACTTTTTCGCGTGCGGAAACTAATAATCGATTTCCGTTGGCCTTGTGTAGTGGCACACGGCGCTTCACCGAGTGCAACAGGCGAAACATTTTAGATCTTATTAATTGGTTGTAGTAACGCCGCTACGTTCGGGTGGAAAATGATACTGAGGTGGTAATTGAACCAGCACAAGATCGCACAGACCTTTGTCCATACTCTTAACGAGATGCGGTGATATTTCATCTTGATGCATACATACACTAGTATTATCCAAAGGTAACGAAAGTTACCTTTGCTTATTAAAGGTTTTGCTTCATGTAGAAAATGATTTGTGTGACCAGCCGCACATCGAAGGGACCACATAACGCTGATGATAAAGGCGTGACCAAATTGATTTGTTGCAGACTCATACTTTTGTAATTCAGCCAATTTAATTGCTTTGGAGGAATCTCTTAAAGAGCTTTCACGCATGCACAATCATTCACGAGCTTAAGACACTGATTGAATCATGAAGGATTTAATCCGCTGGTCTAGATAATTGATGAACTAAATCAGCAGTGAGAGGGATTTTAGTACCTGAAACACCGATCAGGAAACGCCCAATGTAAAGTTAGTGTATTCGCTAATGTAGTTAGTGTCTTGAAGATGACTTGAATATACACGTTTATGACGAAAAAATTGATCACTTTGGACCCGTTGTTGACGCCCGTGAGATTCCTGTTCCTCGTATTCAATAAGAGAGCCAAGACCCGACACTCAACATTGAAACTGTGGCCGCGAATTAGTTGGCTGAACCTACAATCGCTTAGGACCATTAATCTGTAAGAATATGGTCCAAGTTCGTCGGCGCCAAGGTGAACAAGATAAATACTGCGAGCGCATGGCTACGCTGGACAACACTTGATGTCACTGAAAGAAGTTGAGTGGAAGAACCAATTGATGCAATTCCTGCCATCACTTTCAACAGTGATTCTCACGTTAGCATCGTCATACGCAGATTTCCAGTAAAAGGCGCTGGCATATCTTGACACAAGCGCCAATACCGCTGTCAACATGTCAGTAACTTTATTCTCAAGTCTCCACCTAGGTCGTGAACCTATTTTCTTGATCAAAGCTTGAACAGTGTGCGTGCTTTTTTTCTAAAGAGCATTTGATTCCTCCAATAAGTCTGCAATCAAAGATGCCCAGGAATTTAAAGCTTAGTAAAAGTATGGCCTAATCTGTGGCTCCAAATGGGTCCACTAGTTTGCGGCAGATATCTCAAACAATCCTCTTTATCAGGCTAAGGCTATTATCTTACACGAAGCACATTCTTAAACATGACAATAAACTGCTGTGTTATCATACGATTGTCGCAGCAAAGCGAGATCTTAGATATTCTTTCTTTACTGAAATTTTATGATACCATCGTATTTTTGTGATAGAGATGGAGGAAAAGCAGCGAGAAGACAGTCGCAGCGTCGCGAAACGAGTGGAGCGGCCATCACGAGGTGTGGGTCCAGCAGGTGGAACTTCGGCAGGCGTCGGTGGATGCGGGCGGAATAATGTAGTAGTTAAGGTGGGAATGGTGGGAGACGCGCAGGTGGGTAAGACAAGTCTTATGGTCAAGTATGTAGAGGGCAAGTTCGACGAGGACTATATTCACACATTGGGCGTCAACTTTATGGAGAAAACGATTGCGTTACGTAACACGGAAATCACATTTAGTATTTGGGACCTCGGTGGTCACCGCGAGTTTATTAGCATGTTGCCACTAGTGTGCAATGATGCGGTCGCCATTCTCTTCATGTTTGATTTGTCTCGAAAGGCTACGCTCACGAGTATTAAGGAGTGGTATCGTCAAGTGCGCTCTATTAATAAGGTGCGATATACTATGCATTTTGTGAGGGCTATCATCACGACGTCATGTTACTCATAACTAGAATGCATTTCCCTTTCTTGTCGGGATGAAATACGACCATTTCGCAAATTTTGCGGTAGAGGAACAGGAAGATATTACAAAACAGGCACGTAATAGAATGCAGTTAACTCTTTCGAGTTATAATTTTGTGCTGACTATTGTGACCGCTTCACAGGCGCGCAAGTTTGCCAAGGCTATGAAGGCGCCATTGATCTTCACGTCAGCCTCGCACTCTATTAATGTGCAAAAAGTGTTCAAGGTTGTGCTTAGCAAAGTGTTCGATCTCAAGTGTACTGTTCCCATCATTGATCGTGTGGGCGATCCCATTCTTCAGTATTAGTCGCAATCTTCACCGCGTTCACGGCGTGCTTTTGCTTGTAAATATATAGAGATTGATGTGTGTTGTGTGAATGTTCAATTTCCACTGAGTACCCTGAAATGTTAAGGATAAAGCCAGCTTGTATTTGGCAGGACGACAGCATTCGCGAACGAAAAAGATTCTTCTAAGAAATGTCGATACCAGAGTATTCATCCATGCCCAGTGCAATATTAATGTTTTGCACTGCTTGCGTTGCCGCACCTTTGAGAAGGTTATCAATAGTAGCAATCACCACCAAACGGCCTGTGTCTGGATCGAGTTGAAAGCCGCCCACGCTCACGTGCGGGTGGTACGCATTGTCCTTAACGAATGGTACGTCGGATTGCACTTTGATCAAAGCTTCATTTGCGAAATACTCATGGTAAAGCTCCTCAGCCTGCTTTGCTGAGGTGATAAGGCCGTTATCAGCAAGTTGCGCAGACAGCGTGAGATGAATGCCCTGGAAATATGAGGCTACATGAGGCATGAAGCGAATCGCCGTGCCGAGCTGGTAACCAATTTCTTGTTCGTGAATGTGCCTCACAGATTTGTAGGCAATAATGTTGTCTTGAAGCATTTTTAGATCGTTGGCCATAGAAGGATTTGTCCCAGCTCCGCTATAGCCTGAGACGCCAAATACGTGAGGCGGAATAATCTCGTCAATCAACTTGCCACTCACTTCGGGTTTCCCGCCGAGTAGTGGAAGCAATCCGATCTGCGCTCCAGTGGCGTAGCAGCCGGGATTAGCAATATGTGTAGCTCCCTGCAGTCGCATGCGTCCGCCTGGAGCCTCTGGCAGGCCATAAGTCCACTCAGCGTTAAACCGCTGATCAGCACTTAAGTCGATAATGAGTTTGTTCTTGCGATGAAGTGCATCTAAAACTCCAGCGTATTCCTCGCAGTAACCATTTGGTAGTGCCAGTACCCACACGTCAACAATTTCTGCAAATGGCGAGGTAGCGATATTATCGAGTCCAAGCTCACAAAATTCTAGTTCAGGATCGATGTTTAGCTTTTCATTTTCGATAGGCTTAGACGGCGTCTGCGTGTGCGGGTTTGTTGGAACCTTAGATGCAACATCGAGGACTCGTTGACCTATCAAAGCACGCGAGCTAGCGCACACCAACTCGAGCTCGGCGTGGCGGCTAATCACGCGAATGAGCTCACGGCCCACGTATCCACGAGCACCAAGCAGACCCACGCGATACTTTCCATTCTGGCATCGCAAAACGGCTGCCTCTTTAATGGTGGGCTTTGCACTAGTGACAGCGAGTGTCTCACCTTTAATGCACGTTGTACCAGCGCTTTTCTTACTCATGATCTCGCGCATAAGCTCAGACGCCGACGTGAGAACCACAGACGAAGTAGATGGCAGACCCTGCAGCAACGTATTGATTTCATTTAGCTTCAAAAGAGTCCCTTGACGGCCGGTGTAGTCTTGTGCAGCCATGCGTTTGTAGTCTTTGGCCATATTGATTGTCTTCAGCTTGGTACCGTCGTCCGCAATCCAACCCCCTTTTGCATTAACAAAAATTGTTTTAAGCGGTTGCAGACTAAGGGCTAGTTGGCGAGCAGCCACATCAGCGTTAATATTAAGCGTCTGGCCATCGGCACTCTTGCCGAGGCAAGAAAGCACTGGAATCTCGCCAGCGTCGATGACAGTCTGTACAGGGCCGCCGTGAACCTTGTTAACTTCGCCTACAAATCCAAAGACGTCTTTGTCTTTGAATTCAGCCTCGAAGACACCGCTTACAATACCTTTAGCAGGCACACTAGCCTTGCCAAGAGCGGCCACCAGTTTAGCATTTGTATCAAGAAAGATTTTTTCGGCGATGTCGAGCGTTTTTTGGTCGGTGACACGATTACCTCCTACATAGTGAGGCTCCACTCCTTGCTTCGCTAGCTCATCATTCATCTGTGGACCAGCGCCGTGCACAAGGATGGGATGAAGACCAGTGTCCTTCATAAAGCGCAGCGATTCAATCAGCGTCTCTAGCTCGTGAATGATCACGTCGCCACCTATTTTGATGACGGTTGTATGCTTTTTGCCAGGTGTGCGGTACAAATGCTCAAACTCCTTAAGCGTTTCCTCCGGAGCGAGAACTTTGGCTAATTTCAAAGCGTAGTCATCGCTGGCGTTTGACGACAAGGTGCGAATCTGCCGCGTTGCAGCAGAGACTGACTTGGACGCGAGTATGTTGGTAGCTTTGTGCGGATATGTGCCACAGGCAGGCAATGTCACGGCTTGCGAGCTCCGCTGACCGCAACGGGTCAACGCAGGCAATT